TGTACAGATGTGCTTGACACAACAGATGGGTGGATGGATTCTGATAAGAGCTGTACGAGCCCCCAATAAAATGAATTTTAAAAAAGAAATCTTGTCTACTCTAACCTCTTCTGTCAACTCCTGCATTGTTTCTAATGAGATCTTTGAACAACACAGGCCTACATTGTGCAGGCCCAGTTGCAGAAAGAAAAACCCAAACACTTCAGTTACTACTATAAACTCAAGTCTTGTGAGTATCCCCTTAAATGCTGTCAAGTGACTGTGTGAGCTACTAGAGAGATGAACTGTTCACACAGAATGTGGAAGAAATGATTAGCATTACAGCATTTGAAGCGAATGTTCACAACACTCAAGTTCACTGTAATAAAAATAAAAATTCAATTTGTAAGGTAGAATTGAGGTCATGACAGTGGAAAGAACTAGAGGAAAGTTGTGTGTTTCATCGGTGTTATACCGCACCCTGACTAGCTTATCTCTTCCCTGTGACCCTCTGTGAGGGGAAGCCCAATTGTCTGCAGATGGGCATTGGGTCTCAACTCTATGTCCCCACCCCATTCACATTGGGTATGATTTTGTTCTGAATTTTAGATATCTGATATCCGATCCCATCAACACCACATGATCACACAGGCTGGTGTGTTTCTTCCATGTGGCCTTTATTGCTTCTGAGCTACATGGTCGCTCTGAGGCTGTACATCATTGCAGGAACAGAAAATCTCATCTTTCTCCTACAGCGCAGCCCAATTCTTAACCTACTATACACCACCAGAGCTATACCAGAAGAGGAAAAAATCGGCTTTTATGTTAACCCCCAATGAATTCACAATGAAAAGTGTTTAATTTTTTAAAATCTGCTTATAACTGTGCTGGTGCTGTTTAAACTTGTATTGTTCACAAGTCAACTATATACACATATTTTCTGCTGGGAGGGACTTCCGTGGCTAGACCACTCCCTACCCCGTACTCCCTCTCCCTGGACACACACGCTTTGGTGCAAGTTCGACAGTATCGCTATGAGTCAGAATCGCCCCTCCATGGCAGTGAGTGAGTGAGCTACTTAATCAGAGATTGCTGGTTTGAATCCATCTGCAGCCCGCACGGGAAAGCGGAAAAAATGTGGCCAACTGTCCCCGTAAAGGGGAATTCATAGAAAACCTATGGGCCAGTTCCTCTCTGTCACACGGGGTGACTATGAATTGGAATTGACTTGACAGCACCCAGCAATAGGGTATCTCAAAAGACCCAGCAACTTAACTGATTTCAGTGGTCCCAAACTAAAACTTGCTTCTACTAAAGAAAACGTATTTCCGGTAGTGAACTTATCCCCATGCACTCATCTTCCTCACTGGATAAGGATGCTGTTTCTCTACCTTTATGGCTCCTGAACCTTGTTGCAGTGCTGGTCTCGAAAAACAAAGGTCAACTGCCACCCAGTCCATTCAGAATCATCTTAGCAGCCCAAAGGGTCACCAACTATGCCAGGAGGGTTCCTTGTACTGGTC